AATACTTTCTATGAAGAATGTCTGTACTTCTTTATCCCTTGCTCAAAATGTTTATTTACTAGCAGTACTGTTTTATTTTTATTTATTTTTCTTATAACTGATCACCTACTGGTGGTTACAGTCTACTCTTGAATATGACACTCTGACAATGTTCTATTGTTTCATGCAAGCCTGTCAGCAAGACCGGTGCAGAGGCTGTTTTCACAGTTGTTGGCTTCAGTGTGCCATTCACATTCAATCAGTCATAAGCAAAACCTCTCAAAAGATAAACTCTACATACAGCAATGACCTTGGAATATGATTTATCTTTTGCAAGAGCTTCTGTCTAATGAAGATCTTCTAGTGGCTGGCTGAAGAGCACATCAATTTCTTCAGACCTTTGATGCCAAGTTATTACCGGTCTGAGTCCAGATGGCAGGACTTTATCTTGCTCACTTAGTATCTAGTGGAATGTGGCACACAGTTAGTACTTAACAAAGGTGTGTTTACTGAGTGGAATATTAGGGTTTGGCTAGGAAGAAGTCTAAGCAAGAGGTGCAACATGTGCATTCTGGAGTCAGACTGAGTTCGAATACTTGTTTTTCCCACTGACCTGCTAGGTGCCCTTAGACAAGTAACTACACCTCTCTGAGCCAAACCTTTCCTATCTACAAAATGGAGAAAATAAGAACACTTGGGTGGGCAGGTGCTCGATAAATGTTAGCTATTATTAGAGAGAAAAATAACAGATGGGCATATTAAGTGGCCATCAGTGACTCCTAAGAAGTTGTTAGTGAGCATAAACCGTGGTTCAGATCAACCTTGCCTGTGGCATTTATCTTCCACTTCCTTGAGGCCATTGACGGGAACTCTGGAAGCTGAGAGGGAGCGAGCCTATGACTTCAGAATGGCAGAAGATGGAAAGGGCAGAAACAGCCTGGTAGAGCTGACCCCACGGTGGGGGTAGGCTCCTCACAGATGATTACCTCCCAGACCTAGAATGCTGTCCACCCTCCACCCCCTCCCCGACAGCCTGATTCTCTTCACTCAGACTCACCAGCTGAAGCTCTAAAGCACCATGGGTACATACGGCCGGCAAGAAGTCTGTGCTCTGCCACCACTCTGGGCCTCCTCTCCCAGGACCCCACCCATTCTTCCCACCATGTGGAGACATGTGTCAGATTTGCCCCCTGAGAGATTACTCACATTCTGCATTTACCTGAGGCAAAATATACTTTTTTTCTATCACAAAACTTAAATGTCTATTTTCTCTTCTGAAAACATACTTTGGCAGCAGCTGTGCCAACTGTTTTAAAATACTATTTTAATAAGTGTTAATTCAGAAAATTAGACATCTAGTTATGCTGTAGCTTGAAAGCTATCATCTGCCAGCTTGTCTCAGTCACACCCTTATCAGTAGATGAGCTTAGTGGTAAAGGCAGGGGAGGGGGCATGGGAGCAGTCCTAGGAAACTGCAGAGACCACAGAAAAGATCTATACTTAGCAATAATTAAACCTCAGATTAAGAATGTTAAGCATCCCCAAACTAATGAAAAGTCAAAAGTATAATTAGATTGTAAATTCACCTTCCAGAGGAAGGGCAGCCCCAATTCCACATCAGTGAAGGGGAAAAGGCCTCATCTTATTTCCATTTCCCTTCAGAAAACATGATGCTTTCAATGCAGCTGGCCCTTACACACTTGTTTGCTTATCCTAGTTAAGGACAAAAAAAATCTGAGAGAGACAGTGGTAAAGCAAGGAGTCCATGAGTCCAGAAAAACAACTAGCAATAGACATATACTGCTTACTAGTGCATTTTTAAAGTATTATTGCCAAGAGTATTTCAGAGATGTTTATATACAAGTGCACAAAAATAAGCAGCTGTAGACTATGTTTTGATGGCACTAACCTCCTCCCTGTGTTAAATCAGAACAGTGGTTTGGACCACTGTGGTCCTGGGTGCTAGTGGTTGTTTTGGGCCATCTCTTAGGCAACAAGTGCTGATGCATTAAAACTCACCAATATTCCCAACTTTCAGAACTAGAAATGTGATTTAATAATTACACACCTAACTCTGGAGGAGTCAGATTCCTTCAAACAGAATGTGACTATTTATCCAAAACCATGAGATTTATGGTGTAGTATAGCTAATTGAAAATGAAATTGGAAATAAAACCAACTTCATGTTTTAATCAGTTTGAAAGACTTTGAGTATCGCAGCACAAGGCAAGTAATTTTCTTCTGGAAAATATATAATGATGTCATTATTTTGGTACTTGTGACTCCAGAGATGGAGGAAATAGAGACGAGTATTTGCTGTATACAACAGATAGGTGGCGCTGTGGCTCACAGCAGATGTGGAATTACACTCCAAAAACTATGTAATTTATTACACAGACCATGTCCCAGGTTGAAACGGCAGATTAGAAAGTCAAGTAGGTACCTTATAAAGGAATATGACTCGCACAGGAGCTAAATTTTTGCTTTGACAAAAAAAAGTTCTGTAACTTCTAAGGAATCCACTAATTTTCTACTTCTCTAAAAATGTTAATACTTGAAGCATTTGCAAGTTTTGTTATTTACTTAACAATAACAACGAGACATAATCACAAACCCAAGGAAAACTTTGGATTGCTTACCTATGGCAAATTGTCAAAATAATTCCACTTCGTAAAGGCAGCTTTCCTCCTTGGCTAGAAATACACTCTCTGCTTGGCTTCAGAAGCCTCGTGTCCAATTTCTTGGATCCACCCCCTTCCTGACTGCTGCACTCACCTACTATGGGTTACTTGGCTACTTAGTTGTTTGAGATTTACTATTCTTCTTCACCAGAAGTTATCATACCTGGTGTCCTAGGCCTTTCTAGGCAACACAGAAACTGGCAAAGCTTGTCGTTACTTCCTTCCACACTCCTGGATGCCAATTCTTTTATGTTCTAGACTCAGTTTCCATATCTGTAATGTAGGGGTTAAAATGCCTACCTCACATTGTTGAGGATTAATTGATAGAGTGCTTGTAGAGGGTATAGCACAGTGGTTGACACTTAGTAGGTACTAAAAATTATTACCGTCCTCTCCCCCACCTCACTGACCAGACAAACGAATGTAAAATATATGGCCATAGTTGGTGAGCAAACCTCTTACAGAATATTTCCTTTGAAAAGAGGCCTTCAAGGCGAATAGTCTACCCTGGGATTCACCAGTACCATATTCTCCCTACCTCACTGGGATGGAAGGTAAGTGGGGCCTTCAGGCAGTGCCTGGATCACAGAGGGTAGGCAATGAGCCTTCTCCAAGGGGTCTGCAAGCTGGTCCAGAATGCATCGTAAACCTCACAAATAATACATATAGGACTTTCAGGCGTGAAAAATCCTGGGCAGATTTGAAATAACACTTAAAAATACCCAAATTGCAGGAATGGTCATTTACCCAGTAAAAAAGCATTAAGATTTTCAGGGTTCAGGAGCCCACAGAGGAGCTGATGGAATGAGCAGTTGGCTTATCTTCCCAAAAGTTCAAAAACTACTGGACTCAGGGACCAGCAATAGGAAGATTAATTTCTGGCTAAAATGAGGGTAACTGAGCCCCAGAGTAACATTTAGCCATGCGAACTCTTTCCTTTCTGGGAGGATCCTTCAATCAGTGCTAGCCAAGGAAAGTGCGAGTTTCCCAAAATGTAAATGAGAGAAACCGAGTGGGAATAGAAGGAACACACACCACTGCGTTCTGAAATTCCCTAGCCAGAAAATTGTATCGTATCTTTCGTTTCTCTTCTGGGGAGGGTGACTTTTCACCTGCAGTTCAGTCCCTGCCCTTCCTAGAGTCTCCTGACGAGGAAACGAACACCTTGGAAGGGCAGCTAATTGGTAGGACATTATCTCTCCGGATAGCTTAGCGAGAACTTCCTTCTAGAGAACGCTAGAGGCAAAAGTTGCTTTCCAAGCGTGTGGGGCTCCCCAGGCACCTCCCTCGGACGGCTGCCCTGGCAACTCAAAGCGATCGCATCGCGTGGTCTCTGGTGGCTGGAAACTCGGTCACCGCGGTCACATGGCATTTCGCACCCAGCCCCCTCACTCAAGCTTGTCCCCTGTTATCCTAGCACAAAACTAGAAACTCGAGTCCTGTGTAAACACCACGCCAGGCCATTCCGAAACGATTCCCCTTTGATGCCTGTTGTAATTATTTATCTCACATATAAATCAGAATTCTGTTGACCAAACGCCATGTCTCTGATAAACAGAAGGCTGCCCCGCGAAGCCCTTATCCTTGCGATTCCGCTTAAAGGTATGCTAACTTGTGACACTTCCTAAACCCGCCTGCAGAGGACACCGCCCAGGAGACGGTCAACGGAATGATGTGTGTCACCTCTGAACACACGTGGGCACACCAACTGCACAGGCGGGCACATGGAAGGGACGCGGAACCCAGAGCAGTGCAGTTATTTTCTAATCGGTGGGTCTGATGGTGAAAGATGCCAAACGCACTTTCCGAGCCAGCTGAACTCCGCGGGCACCTAATCACTGCCAGATGTGGGGAGGGCGCACCAAGAACATCCCCGAGTCCCGGAGGAAACACCCGGCCGGCAGCCCGTCGACTCCTCGCACAGGGAAACAGCACGAGCCGGGAGGAGAGGACCCCCAAACACTGTGTGGAGCGCCGCAGAGCGGAAAACGGACTGGGAGGAGTGAGGATGCCTCCACTCTCCTCGGCATGTTTTTTCAATTAAAAAGTTGGGAACTGGAATCTGTAAACAACGACTTGGGGCTTCAAACTACTTTGCTGAGAGACACGATGGGGAGGGGAATACTTGCACGCTCCAAAACCCCGAACCTCTAGGTCTCCTGCCTCGCGGAACTTCGGGGCACAGGAGCGCCCCGCGCGCGCACGCACGGTCCCCGCGCCGCATCTCCTCCCGCCCTCAGCCCGGAGAAAATTCGCGCAACTTGCATCTCCTCCCCCTCCCGCGCGTCCCGAAGCCCGCCCTGCGGGCGGAGAGCCCAGCGCAGCCCGCCGCCGCCCTACCTTTCATGGTGACCGAGGAGACGCACTGCCAGCCAGGGAGCTCAGCGCAGCGGAGAAAGTTCGCGCTAAACAGAGGGTCACTGCGCGTCCATGGCAGCCGCGCCGCGCCGTCGGCCGTCCGCGCTCGAGCCTTTCCTCGCCGCCACCCGCCCGCGTTCCCCGCTCGGCTCTCTGTGCCGCGGGGCTGCCGCGCGCGCCGCTCACCCCGGGCGGGAGGCGCCGCTCCCGCCAGCGCCCCTCCCCCTGGCCCGCCGGGGCGCGCGGGCCGCTGCGCCCACGCCCCCTCGCGCCCTCCCGCGCCCGCCCCGCCCTCCGGCCTGCGCTCGCCGCTGCCCAGTGGCTTTCTCGCCCGGCCTCTCCCCTGCGCAGTGTCTCGTCCCGGGTCTCCCTTTTCCTCGTCCGACCAGCGGCAGAAGGATGTCGGAAGAAGTCGTCTTCCAGGCGGCCAAATGCTCACCCTCGGTGTGCGCGAAAACTGCCGCTGCTGGTCTTGTTTCTAGACCCCCAAACCACTTAGAGCGTGGGGTGACAGTTGGGGAGCAGCAGTGTCACCGGGGTGGTGGAGTAGGGTTGTCCCTTCCCCAAAAGTCTCTGGGGCATGAAGGGTTAGGATATCAAACCGAGCTGAAAGAGAACGTCTTCGGGGTTCCAGGTTTCCAGGTGCGCTTGTGGACATCCGGAGGAAGAAAGGGGCACGGGCGAGCGCGCTCACTGTCACCCCGGGAGAGCTGTCGCTAAATCCGAAGTCACCGTTAGATGCTCTCCCGACAGAACTCAGACAAGGATTACAACTTTGGATCTTCAAGAACACAGAGACAGAAACCCAAAAAATCCTCTACACTCCCCTTGATTTAGAAAAGTCACCCTTCCACCCACCGCCCCTGGATTGATAAGGTTGAGGGAGGCTGGGATATTGTGTGGCTTTTTAGTAAGTTCCCTCCATTGTGCCCCATCATGTTGTCCCAATGTGGGTTCCCCCACACCTTTTAGAACCTCCGAAGCAGACCCAGTCGTTGCTTTATTGGCTTAAAACTTTAAGTGGTGAGTGGAGCTGTGGGGAGGGAGATGCATAGAGACTTCTACAACGATGAAATGAAAAATCACCATGCACTTACTAACATACCAAAAGGAATATAATTCTGCCTGGGCGGTGGTTACAGCTTTTCTGATTTCCTCTCATGAGGATTTGGTAACACGGTGTAAACAACCCACTGATTCATTCTAAACAGGGAATTCTGCTCTAGAAAAAGGTAGTGCCCAGAAATGAATACATTCTAAAATATTTTAGACTCTCCGTTCCAGAATCCTTCTTTCGTGAACGTCAGGGGGAAACTTGCACATGACTAGCAAAGAAAAAGATTTTTTAAAAAAAACAACACTTTTTATTTCACTTCAGGGGTTGATTAAACTATAGGATCCCTGGGGACTTGTTCTAGCTCCCACAAATGTTACCTGCCTTGTCTTGCTGGGCAAGTGAAGGTGGCTAAAGGAAAACCAGGTTATGGATCCTCAGCCCAGAAGTTACTAATGTTGGAATAAAGGAAATCCATCAGTTTCGTTGTGTAATAATTTCTCCATCTGAAAAATGGAGAGGATTTTGGCTCCAATATTGAGTTAAAAATATCATTTTAAAAACATAAATTATAGCTTGACACCAAAAACAGTAAAAGAAAATACAGATAAATAAGATTTCATTAAAATTTAAAACTTGTGCATCAAATGACACAAAAGACACAGTGTGAAAAGGCCACCCACGGAATGGGAGAAAATATTTGTAAATCACATATTTTGTAAGGGACTAATATCCAGAATATATAAACAATGCCTACAACTCAACAGCAACAAAAAACAACCCAGTTGAAAAATGGGCAAAGGACTCAAACTGGCATTCTCCAAAGATTTACAAATGGCTAATAAACATATGGAAAGATGTTCAACATCCTTAATCATTAGGGAAATGCAAATCAACACCACAATAAGATACCATTTCATATCCATTAGTATGACTATTATAAAAAAAGAAAATTGCTTTTAAAAAAGCAGAAGACAACAAGTGTTGGCAAGGATGTGAAGAAATTAGAACCTTATGCATTGCTGGTAAGAATGTAAAATGATGCAACCACTGTGGAAAACAACATGGTGCTTTTTCAAAACAATGAAACAGAATTATCATATTATCTAACAATACTACTTCTGGATATATGCCCCCAAAGAATTGGAAACAGGGATTTGAATAGATATTTTTACACCTGCATTCAAAGCAGCCTTATTCACAATTGTCAAAAGGTAGAAGCAATCAGTGTCCATCAATACATGAATGGATAAATAAAATGTGGTATATATTAACAATGGAATATTATTCAGCCCTATAAAGGAAGGAAATTCTGACGCCTGCTACAGCACGGATGAACATGAGAGCATTATGCTAAGTGAAAAAAGCCAGTCACAAAAGGACAAATACTGTATGATTCCACTTATATGAGTCACCCAGAGTAGTCAAATTCATAAACGACAAGAAGTAGAATGGTGGCTGCCAGGGGTGAGGGGAGGAAAGAATGCGGACTTAGTGTTTACTTGTTACAGGGTTTCAGGTTTCCAAGATGAAGAGTTCTAGAGATGGATGGTGGTAATGGTTGGGTGATAATGTCAGTGTACCTAATGCCACTGAACTGCACTTAAAAGTGGTTAGGATGGTAAATTTTATGTGTACCTCACCACAAAAAAATTCTTTTTTTAAAAAATGTTTTATTTATTTCTGAGAGAGAGAGAGGGAGAGAGAGAGAGACCGTGTGAGCAGGGGAGGGTCAGAGAGAGAGGGAGACACAGAATCTGAAGCAGGCTCTAGGCTCTGAGCTAGCTGTCAGCACAGAGCCTGACACAGGGCTCAAACCCACGAACTGTGAGATCATGACCTGAGCTGAAGTCAGATGCTTAACCGACTGAGCCACCCAGGTGCCCCAACCACAAAAAAATTCTAACAACAACAGCAACAACAAAAACTATGAGGTTGAAGAAAATCCCATAAGACCCAAAACCTACGATGTTAGTTATAATGAGCCAGACTCATAGCCCTGCTGATGAAGAAGCAAGCTTGGCAATTCTTCTTCTCTTCTTTTTAATGTTTGTTTGTTTGTTTGTTTGTTTATGAGAGAGATCATGCATGCGAGAGCAGAGTAGGGATAGAGAGAGAGAGAGAGAGAATCCCAAGAGGCTCTGGGGTGTCAGCACAGATCCTGACGCAGGGATCAAACTCATGAACTGTGACATCATACCTCAGCCAAAATCAAAAGTCAAATGCTTAGCTGACTGAGCCACCCAGGCGCCTGGCAATCTTGTAGAGGACAGTTTTAAGAAAGGCTCCTGGAAGATCTCCTCCTTCAGCACAGACTGGATGGAACCCCTTAGGTACATCCCACAGGTCCCCTGCCTGAGATCTGCCTTCTCTGAGTCCCACTCTGGAGGGTTCCAGGGCTGAAGGTTGTGGACATATGCAGACCATCAGCTGACCAAGATTTCTCTGATCAAGATCTGTGAGAGAAGTTGAGGACAGGTCTGGGGCTTAGGAAGAGAAGGGAAAGATAAAGAAGAGGGGAGTGGTTGGGAAGGACTGAATCATACCAATGAAGATGCTTTAAACTCCTCAATGGAAATGGGCTACCTGGGCCTCCAGGTCATACTGAGGCCTCCTCATCACCACCAGCAGCAACTGTGCCCTGCATTTACACTATGCTTATAAGCTTGGGGAAGGCATTATCTCATAATCCTCCCCAAATCTTGTGCTAAGTGTCTCCTTTTTTACTAATGAAAAACCATATCTCACACTTCTCCACCTCTTTCTATCTCCCATGTAAAGACCACTCAAGCCCATCTGGAATTTTGCAAGGACCCTCCAGGTGATCTCCCCATGCCCACTGTTGCTTCTCCTCCACTCCAGCCTCCAACACACAGCAGCTGGAGAGAACAGGTGAGAGATGAGAAGCTCTAGTTTCCCCAGCTTAGTACCTTTAGAGAGTTTCCAGGCCATGCTGTGAAAATGGGGAACCCAGGCTGAGTCCAATGGGCTCCTTGAATGAAGGAGAAGCTGAGAGGGTAGAGAGAGACCAAGGCAGGACAAAGCACTGGAGGGGAGAGAGTGGCAGTCAGTTTGTGCTAGGATCATTCCAATACCTTAATCTCTGACCATCTGTATGCTTCCTCTCTGGTGGGCAGCCAGTACCTTCCAGCAACCACCAGTGCTACTACCACCTTCCATTTGCCTACTCATTTTTCTCCTCTCCTTATACAGCTTCTCTTGTTCCATTTCAGCCAAGCTATTTAGTGCTTCCCCAAACATCATGTACTTATTCCACCTATGAAACTGAGCCTAGTATTCCACATCTGAAAACATCCTTCTTTCTCCATTGCATCAGTATATTTATTTACATCCACTTTAAAAACACAACTCTTCTACAAATGGGCCCCTTCACCCAGCAAACAAGACTTATATGATTACTAATAATTGGCACTGTGCTACACACTGCAGAGAATGCAAATTTGGGCCAGATGATGCCTCATCCAGGAGTCTGGTAGGTGAGACAAGACATTCCAGAAAGGATCCATAGCAAAGACAGAAAGTGGGAGATGGCCAGTGTCGTGAGACATACAGATAACAGGCCACAGAAGGAAATAAGGTGATGATTTCTGACTAAGGTAACAAGGAAAGATGGATGCTGAGGTTAGCTGAGATTCAAAAGAAGATGAAAAATGCTCTCTCCCTCCAGACCAGTAGGTTGGACAATGGTGTCTGGGAACCACCTATGTCAGAATCACTCAGAGATATTTTTATAAAGTAGAGATGGCTAGGCTTTACCTGAGATTCCTAAATCAGAATCTTTCAGGAAGAGGGTTGGGGTGCTTCCATTTTCTAGCACTCTCCAGGTGATTTTTGTGCTCACTAAACTTGGAAGATCATCACAGTAGACTATGAACTTCTAAGAGAAAGACCATGCTTTCGTCATCTTTGTAGCAACAGCTTCTAGCAATTAACAATCAAGTGAAAGACTGAATAAATGGAAACCCCTTTCCATTAGCAATGAAGAAGGTACCCCAAAAAAGCAAAGCAGGGAAAGCAAAACGTATGGAACATCCCTTAAGATAGCCTTCTGTGGATCACGCATGGTCTGCTTATTCAGGAGAATAAGCTTGTTTTCTGAGAAGCATACTGGCTTCTACAGGCTGGTCATCTGAGTCACTTCATAT